GGGAGTTGCCCGAGGGGTGGTGTCCGCTGCTCGGGGACTGGCTGGGCCTCGGTCGGCGTGTGGTGAGCAATTGTACTGTGCATCACTTGCTTTGTGTATTATTATTATTATCATATTATTATTCTTACCATTTTATTTCAATTATTAAACTGTTTTTATCTCAACCCACGAGTTTTTCTCACTTGTGCTTTTCCAATTCTCTCCTCCATCCCATCGGGGGGGGGAGTGAGCGAGCGGCTGCGTGGTGCTTAGTTGCCGACTGAGGTTAAACCACGACAAGCATGAAACGTGCAACAAACACATTGGTTCTCAATGATGCTGGGCATAATTTCTTTTGAAGAGTCAAGAATTGAGTTTGGGAACAGCATTTATGTGCCAGAGGAAGGAGGGAGAGAAGTCTGCTTCTGCTGCAGGTGTAAATGAGGCAGCTAGAAAATACTGTAAAACACTCCCTGTTTGCAACTTACCCCACACAGTCATTAAAACAATTGAGGGGAAACAGACATCCCTTTTCCAGCAGAGCCTTGTAAGAACCATCAAGAAAGTTTAGTAGATGAGAATCAAAAATTGCCTCTCCTATCCACCACTGATTTTAAAAAAAACCCAACAGTGAGATCAGCAAGAGATGTCTTATTTATTCATGAATACCCGCAGCTCCCTCACCTATGTACAGTATTCTACAAGGCTGAGAAATAAGTAATCTAAATCCAGTGCTGCTATAAGATTGATGTACATAGAAGCTAAGAAAAAAAAAATCCACATTTCATTCCTGAAACCCCAGCTACACATTTTCCTATATTTTATGTGATGTTTTATCTGAAGTTTGGACTGTTCTTTGATAGCTATGCTGAAACACACCATTCCTTTTGCATATACCTCCGTGACCTTCTTTCTGCCTTCCCCACCATCCAGATCATGAATCTGATAAGCCACAAGGCATTTCAGCAGCCTGAGGTGAACGTTTATTTTCAGAGCACACTTAGTGCTGTTACAGGTAACATCCATTCTACTGCTCAGCTAGGAAACTGAAACTGGTCTTTCCTATTAACTTCCATTTATTTTCTTCCCACTAATAAAAAACGGACCAGGATTCCCTCCCCCTCCTTTTTTAATAAAGGGCTACATCCCAGGCATTGTTTTAAGCCCCAAGGAGTTAAAAGGAATGAGCAGAGGAAAAAATATCTCTGCTCTTGAAATTACTTTTAGCATACAGCACTGTTGCAATTACAGTGTGCAGTTACTGCACTAGAAGGCACTAATTCCAGTGCCATATGGCTTCAGAATCACATTACACTGATCTGCTTAAAGTGATTTCCTAACTGACGAGCAAAACATTTTTGCTCACCTTCAGCAGCGGGAAACAAGAACTCTGCCACTGTTGGGGCACATTTACTCCCACGCGAGCT